CTCAAAATCCATACCAGACCCAAAGGGCTTAGAATGGATAAAGGGGGGGACCCCACGTCATTTTTTTAAATTATTTTTTTTAATTGCCTGCAATTCTTTCTTATACATTCAGCTGTCAGTGGGAACCCCGCTGACAGCTGAAACATTATCGCATGGTTTTCACTATTAAAATACTGCATGACTTGATAAAATAACGCATGCAGTATTTTAGTAGCATTTTTGGTGAGTCCAAGAGTTTTTTTTAAACAATGCTATGCGGTATCCTACCGCATACTCGGATGCGGTAAGATAGCGCTTAGTGAATTTTGCCCAGTGAGCCTCTCACCAGGCCCCCTACTGACTCCGGGCCCTTAGGCAGTGCCTGAATGGTCAGTCCACCCCTGCTTCCATAGTGCAATGAAGATCAGTTTGTGAAAGGCAAGATAACCTGCTGAGTAGGTGAGGATGAGTAATGAAATCATAAACTGCTATGTCATGTATTTGGAAAGAAACCACTTACATGAATATAATTTTCCTCTAACACATCAGTCCGCTAATGTAAATATAAACTGTCCTGGTATTTATTCCTAGGAGACACGCAAATGTGCAATAATAAAATGCATTGTTTTCCTGAGTCCTATGTGCTAAGCAATAAAGGCATTACTTATAAAGTAAACAAATGTGGCCTCCGGGAAAAAAATGAATTTTAGCTTGTTTACTTAAACATAATTTTGTTTCATTCTATTTCTGGAGCATCGTATTTTATAAGACTGGAAGGTTACGTGCGTGTGAGCAGACGTAAACATTTCAGGTTCATCTAACAGGACTGATTGGCTGAGTCAGGCCAAGCATTTCAGTGCAAACATACAGTATAGCTGTCATTAAACCCCAGTAACAGATTGGTGGCTTTGGACAAAACCATCAGATATTCAGAGTCCGATCAGATATACACAGATATTCAGAGTCCGATCATCCAAAATACATACCTAATCTTTGGTGTTTCTACATCATCTTGGAATAGTGGGTGCTTGTGTGAAAATTTCCAGTCCACTAGACCTTTCTGCAGTGCCAGCATCTCGAGATTCCTTATTTGAAGATTCCACCATTACAGATACATCAGACGTTGACAGGTTACATCAAAGAACTTAGAGTAGCAGTACTGATGCCAGTAAAATCAGGATTACGGCTACACATGTTAAAATATGCATTAGTGCTGTTCCCATAAGAAAGCCATGCATCTGCTCTCCCTGCAAACTGTAGCTGCGTCTTGTCCTGAGGTTCATATGTCCTAAGATGGAGGACAGCGCAGTCGAAACTAATTTTTTCATTTTGAGAGGAGTGAGAAAATTCTAGAGATCGCTTTATACAATCAGATTGTTTCACATCTGTGCCCATCGTGCAGCGGTCTCTCTTTCTGTCTCTTTTGATATGTTTTTCTGTGATTTCTTTAAAGAAAAATTGGAGAGAACACGTAAAAATCAAGTATTCTGCCTACTTGCAGTGTGTTTCTTTTCTGTAAACATTTTTCCTGTTTACATGCAATGTACCTTTTTGAAGTTGCTAGAAAATTTCACTACTCCAGGAAGAGTCCATTTTCTTTGCACAACCCTTTCTCTCCTTACACTTTATAGCCCCCCCTCTTCTAGGAGTGTTTCATTATTTTCTGTGCTGGCCCAGTTCCGCTGCCCCTCCCCTCACTTCCTTACATAACCACCTATGTAGCTGCCAAAGGGAGGCACAAAGAGGAATACTATAGAGATGTACTTGAGTCTGCTGGGATTGCTGACATCACATCCAAGATGGTTGCGCCCAACAGCAGTCTCATGGATTTTTGATGTCTACACAAAGGAGGCTTTTGCAGGTACATAACATGTTAAGTGTACATATAATCTTATGGGAAGATTGTTGTTGAAATGACTGCTCTTGGGACAGGGGGCTCTTTATTATTTACTTTAGTTGTTAATATTTTACTCATCAGAACAGCTGTCTCGGCATGAGTTCTCACGTTATGGCCATTAGGCTAATTTGTTGGGGTTTTTTTTTTTTTTTTTTAGGGTTGGGCAAAAAGCAATTCACTAATCTGTAATAATTGGTAAATGAAGCATAACGTGTTTCAGTATTTTGTAGATTTGAGTTGTTACGCCCTTATATGACTACTGAGAAAATCTGAATCACTGAGTTACTTAATCATTCCACCACATTTTCAGTATTCTGTTCTTATAAATTATTAAAAGAATGTTTGGAGTTAGAGACATTGCCACATAGGAAGTATGGTGGCTGCCACTATGGACTCCTAAAACTTCTGAGCACAATAGGTCTAGAATAAGCATGCTGGAAATGAGTATCAGAAAAGTGCCAGAATTCCCTACCCTTTAATTTGTTGCAGGGCAGGAATTCAAAGAGCACTATAGCCAAACATCAGCAGGCCAGCTAGGAACTAGCATTATTATCATATCCGAGGCCCCCCATCACGATGAAGGTCCCAGCATCACGTCAGACCCCCACTTCATGTCAGGGAACCCCTTTTACATCAGAGTACTCCCATGACAGAGTCCTCCTACCACAGCAGAACCTCCACATGACCAAATCCTCCCATCGTATCAGAGTCCCGTCCCCCCCATCACACAATCCTCAGTCACAGAACCCCCAATCACACAGTCCTCTGTTCACATCAGAGCCCTACCTTTTGGCTGTGGTAGGGAAGCAGAGGAAGAAGATGGGGGAGGAAGTTTGCAGGAGCAGGGCTTCCATCCTTTTATGAATGCTGGAGTGGCCCTGCATGCCACCTTCACTGTATCATCATACGTTGCCATGGTGCATGCAGGCTGGTTGCTAACACCATAGCAACAAATTATGCTGGGCGTCCTGCCCTACAGCAACATTTCTTGTTATGACATTGGCAGCTGGCGTGCCCATACCATGGCAACTCAAGACACTGATCCAGGACAACCTTGGTCCTGTGTTCTAGGCATCCTGGGGAAACCCAAACTGCACCCCAGTTGAGCACCACTACATTAGGGTAACTCATGTCCTACAGTTTAAATTGCCTAAATACATAGCAAGTGCCTTAAAACAAAATATGTTAAGTATGTTTAAGTTTTGAATTTGTTTTCCTTAAAAATCTGCTTCATTCTATGTAGAAAAGCCTGTCCCTGCAGAGTAGAAGCTTTGTTCTCTGTGTGAAAGCAGTGATCTCTTCGCAGAGGTATGATGCCCCCCTTCTGAATCAGAACCAGAGCTCTTCAATTAGCAGGGAACGTAAGCTTTGCTGACAGTAGAGCTATAGGCCTGACTCTGTCAGGAAAATGTGGAAACTCTGCATTGAGACCACTGCTTCCCCACAAAGAGCAAAGGTCTCTTTCTTCAGCTGCTGGCAACTGGAGTCCTAGAAAGTTAAACAACATTGAAGATTATGAGCCAATGTTGGACAAACATTACAATAATGCTAGATTTTCAGTATACCTGTCAAGCGCATATATTTGGAAATGAAGGAACAAAGCATATGAATAAACTCTTTATGCTCAGTCTGTAGTACAGCTGAAGGGCTTCTCTTAAAGTCCTATATTGATGCGAAGTAGCCAAGCCAGCTTTTAGACACACATAAGTAATAATTCACAAGAGCCTATGCTGTGGCAGAAATACATTCCTGTTCCTTTTCAGCAGTTTAACACAAGAAAACTCACAGATTTCCAATTAAAAGAAACATATTCTAAGAGTAATAAGTGGGCTGCCCTTGCTGACATCCTGATGCTAGTTTCTTGGCTATGTTTGATCTGAATTCTGTCAAAGCCACCAACGCAGAACAAGTGTGCCACCACTGAAGTCAGAGCAAGGATGAAACTCTTGATTTCCTTGCTTGATTGTTTTAAGACAGTGATTTACACCATTGAAGCATTTGGATTAGCATAATATCTTACAAACTAGTATTTTCAAATTGAGATCAGTGAGATATGAGCTTTCTCTAAAGTGGTTGTTAAGGTTGAAGGTTCTTTTTTTTCATATGCATGAAGGTAAAAAAACCTTCAGTGTGCAGCTCCCCCCTTAGCCCTCCCCCCTTAGCCCCCGATCCAGCGATGTTCAGTGGTGATGAGGAGGGAGCGAGGGGCAGGGCTAAGCCACGCTCCATGTGTTTCATAGACACACAAGGGCGGCTCGGGAACGAGCACACATGAGTATCCCCATAGCAAGCAGCACTCAGCAAGGGGGAGGGGCCAGGAGTGCCGGCAGGGGGACCCGAGAAGAGGGGGATCGGGGCTGCTCTGTGCAAAACCATTGCATGGAGAAGGTAAGTATAACATGTTTGGGTTTTTTTGTTTTGTTTTTTTGAAGGTTAAACCTTTACAATCATTTTAAGTCTTCTATAATGATAGTTTTTTAGATTTATTTTAAAGCCCAATTCTGAGATGGGGAAAAAAGCCTTGGGGCTCTTTTGCACAAGCGGTAATTTTGCTTTTCAGAGGGTGGTAAAGCAGTTAATTGTTGAACATCAATTTTACATTGTAGGACCGCACTGCAACTGCAAACCAGGTCTTTGGCTCCCAGTGCGACCCCATTGATCTCAGTGGACACGTTTGATAGGCAATGCTGCTGTGATACTTTTCAGCCTGAGTTAAATTGGTAAAAATCTGTACAGAACTCTCAGGCTGTAATGTTAGAATTCCAGTGGGTAGCCAGGGACAGTAAAACCTTGCCTCAGCCACCTGTTTTTGCCACTCCCTGCCTGCCAGTATTGTCTAATGGTTTTTAGACAATAGCAAGGAGTGACAGAGTTTATAGCTGATTATTCTCCTAATGGGTATATGCAACAATTACTGTGCCATTTAGTGTTGAAGTATATAAAGATTGTTCAGTGTGGAATAAAGGGATGTCTTAAACTCAATTACAGGTTTGCTAAGGTGCAGTCCTGGGATACACTGAAATAAAGAGCTCTTACAGAACTTTAGTTAGCCCCTTGTCTCAATGCTGCTTTACATAAACTCTGTGTTTTTCCATATGCATTGTTTCCACTCTTGTGTCCACAGCAGCAGATGGGTCTCCAGTGAGTTCTCGCTCACTCTCAGCCATTCAGATCATTCCAGTGAAGGCAGTACAAAGTTTTCCAGATCTTGTGCCAGTTCCAGGTACATTTGTGCAGCACGAGTCAGCCATGCCCATTCCGCATTGTTTATCTGTTTGCGCTGCCTTTCTAGTCATGTGACCGAAACTGGACTGCTTGTAATACATCCATTTCCATTTGTGCTTTTATTGAAAGCTAGTGTCTGAGTTGATCTTATCACCAAGTTTGTGTTTGGAATGTTTTACTTTTGTTTTACGTTTTGTACTCACAGAAAATATAAGTAAATCATTTATATTTGCAGAGTTTATAATTTCTTTTAATTTGAAAATAAAGTTGAGCATGCATTGAGCGGTAGAAAGTTTTTGCAGAGCTTTTTGTGTCTTGAGTATGATATTGCTCGCCTTTAAATTGTTTTGTATTGTGGTTATTACAAGGTGAAAGCATGCCATGCATGAACTGTTCTTGATGTTTATGTTTAGCTAGCCATGAGTTTTGCGCTTTTGGTTCAGCTTAACCACAGCCACCCCTCAGTGCCATTGGTCTTTGTGGCCTTCAAGCTTTAATAATTACATTTAAGCAAACATCCAGGAAACCGGCTTAATACAATGTGAATACAAACTCTTTTAACTAGTGCTTTATGAATAGAGGATGGGTGGATAAATGAAAGGTCCGCCTTTTCTATTCATAAATCATTTTTCATTCATGGAAGCTGTAGTGGAGCTTCTAGAAATGGAGGAGGAGCGCATAGTCGTCACCAGAAGATTATGGCGGCAGGGGAGGGGGTAGGGATCTGAGGAGTCCAGCTAAAACCACAGCAATCTGCACAATATTGTAAGTATTTTCCCTTGTGCTGATTAGTAAAAATATATATATATATTTTTTTTTTTTAAACAACTTAGTAAGGAATCATAATTTCCTTACATTTCCTTCTTGTATTTCAATAGTTTTTATTAGTTTTAATCAGTATAAAACAGAGGCGACAAAACATGCCCCCACAGGGGCTATCAATTGCACCGATAAGATAAAAAACATAATAATAAAAGAAAAACAGTGCTCTAACTTCAACAAGGCAGAAGGTACGCCCACGCAGGGGCTATCAATGGCACATAGGTTACAATGACGGTAATGAAATTCTAACTGCAATTAAAGGCAGCTGTCCACTATCACCCAAAAAACTAACAGAAATGGAGAGATAGAAAGAGAGGAGAAAAAAAGAAAAAAAAAAGGAGAAGAGGGGGCAGAGATCCAAGAGCGCACCATCGAACGCCAGTGCCTAACGCCATTACATCCCCATACTAACCAAAGGAAGCCTTACATTTCCTTCTTAAACATTATGAGAAAATCCTGCAAAATATTTCTGAAATGCAGGGCAGGAAGATGCACTCTTGACAATCCAGCAACTGTAGATCAAGACCCCTGTTACCTTTCTACAAATTTTGACCTGAAACACTTTGAAAATACTTAGAATTCAGTACATTGATGAACGGATAATCTCCCTGTTAACTTTTTATGACATATGTATGCTGGCCACAAGCCCAAACAAAACCCTTTCAACTGTCAGTCGTCCCTCATAGCCACCTATCAGATTCAAACAAGCCTTGAAAATATACACTCACCGGTCACTTTATTAGGTACACCTTGTTAGTACCGGGTTGGACCCCCTTTTGCCCTCAGAACTGCTGTAATTTTTTATGGCATAGGTTCAAAAGGGTGTTGGAAACATTCTGCAGAGATTTTGGTCCATATTAACATGATGACATTACACAATTGCTGCAGATTTGTCATCTGCACATCCATGATGTGAATCTCCCGTTCTGCTACATCCCAAAGGAGCTCTATTGGATTGAGATCTGGTGACAGTGGAGGCCATTGGAGTACAGTGAAGTTATTGTCATATTCAGGAAACCAGTTGGAGATGATTTGAGCTTTGTGACATGGTGCATTATCCTGCTGGCAGCAGTGATCAGAAGATTGGTACACTGTAGTCATAAAGGGATGGACATGGTCAGCAACAATACTCCGTTAGGCTGTGGTGTTTAGACTATGCTAAATTGGTACTAATGGGCCCAAAGTGTACCAAGAAAATATCCCCTACACCATTACACCTCAGTTTCCTGTTTACAGCTGGCAGGAGTGGCACCCAGTGTGGTCTTCTGTTGCTGTAGCCCATCTGCTTCAAGGTTCGACATGTTGTGCATTCAGAGATGGTATTCTGCATACCTTGGTTGTAACAAGTTATTTGAGTTACTGTTTCCTTTCTATCATCTCGAACAATCTACCCATTCTCCTCTGACCTCTGATATCAAGGAGGCATTTTCTTCCACACAACTGCCACTCACTGGATATTTTCTCTTTTACGGACTATTCTCTATAAACCCTAGAGATGGTTGTGCGTGAAAATCCCAGTAGATCAGCAGTTTTTGAAATACTCAGACCAGCCCATCTGGTACCAACAACCATGCCATGTTCAAACTCACTTAAATCCCCCTTTCTTCCTCATGATGCTTGGTTTGAACTTCAGCAAGTCATCTTCACCAAGTCTAGATGTCTAAATGCACTGAGTTGCTGTCATGTAATTGGCTGATTGGCAATTTGTATTACCAAGCAATTGAACAGGTGTACCTAATAAAGAGGCCAGTGAGTGTGTATACCACTGTGTTTGTCCACACCAATAGATATATCTAAACTGAAAAAAAAAAAAATGTAATTTATGCAGTTTACCAGTCCTAAGATGTGGTCGCTGCCGTGGTTTATCTTTTTTAGGGTAGCAATAGAAAAATCTTATGGATCCTGCCAGAAATCTAGGGTCCTTGTAACTTCATGTGCACAGAGCTGAAACATTAAACGATGTTATGAGCCTTTCCAGTTCACCTCTGTGGACTACATAATGCTTATCCCCATGTTATGGAAGTTTTCTGTAGTTCTTACACACTTCCTATTCTAGAGTGACAACACTGCTTCTCTACAGATATAGTGCAGTTCAGCGAGAGCTACACACCCCTGTTAAAATGTCAGGTTTCTGTGATGTAAAACAATTAGACAAAGATAAATCATTTCAGAACGTTTTCCACCTTTAATGTAACCTATAAACTGTACAGATCAGTTGAACAACAAACTGAAATCTTTTAGGTGGAGGGAAGTAAAAAAAAAAAAAACTCAAATAATATGGTTGCATAAGTGTGCACAAACTAATACATTGTTTAAGCTCAATGAGTCTATCAGCATGGCACATCTTGACATGGCAATATTTGCCCACTCTTCCTTGCAAAAACACTCCAAATCTGTCAGATTGCGAGGGCATCTCCTGTGCACAGCCCTCTACAGATCACCCCACAGATTTTCGATCAGATTCAGGTCTGGGCTCTGGCTGGGCCATTCCAAAACTTTAATCTTCTTCTGGTGAAGCCATTCCTTTGTTGATTTGGATGTATACTTTGGGTCATTGCCGTGCTGAAAGATGAAGTTCCTCTTCATGTTCATCTTTCTAGCAGAAGCCTGAAGATTTTGTGGCAATATTGACTGGTATTTGGAACTGTTCAGAATTCCCTCTACCTTGACTAAGGCCCCAGTTCCAGCTGAAGAAAAACAGCCCCAAAGCATGATGATGCTGCCACCACCATGCTTCACTGTGGGTATGGTGTTCTTTTGGTGATGTGCAGTGTTGTTTTTGCGCCAAACATATCTTTTGGAATTTTGGCCAAAAAGTTCAACCTTGATTTCATCAGACCATATCACCTTTTCCCACATGCTTTTGGGAGATTTTAGATGTGTATTTGCAAAATTTTACCAGGCTTGGATTTTTTTCTTTGTAAGAAAAGGCTTCCGTCTTGCCACTCTACCCCATAGCCCAGACATATGAAGAATACGGGAGATGGTTGTACCACACAGCCTGTACTTGCCAGATATTTCTGCAGCTCTTTTAATGTTGCTGTAGGCCTCTTGGCAGCCTCCCAGACCAGTTTTCCTCTCGTCTTTTCATCAATTTTGGAGGGACATCCAGTACTTGTTAATGTCACTGTTGCGCCATATTTTCTGCACTTGATGATGACTGTCTTCACTGTTCCATGGTTTATCTAATGCCTTGGAAATTCTTTTGTACCTCTTCTCCTGACTCATACCTTTTAACAATGAGATTTCTACAGCCCTAAGACTGCTGCAGGATGCTGCCATCTTGGATGTGATGTCAGCAGCCCCAGGAAAGACTCAGAGCTGTCACTAAAGTGTCACTTTATAGTATTCTGCTTCCCTTCTTCCCCAGCTACTACTGAAAAGGATATGTAGAGAGATGAGGGGAGGGACAGAGATGCTAAGTCAGCACAGACACAATAATTAAACACTCCCAGTAGAAGAGAGGGAATGATGTGGGAATCTCCCCAGTGAGGGCAAAAACATCAATTTAAACTTCATACAGGAAACAAAGAGGCTGCTTACCCTATACATGTGGAATTAAGCCCATAAGGATGAAATGTGTTAAATAATGTCTGACCAGAGACACTTGTCACCACAACAAATGTCCCCATTGTACACCTTCTCTCAATTCCTATTGTGTTGAACGCTCCAAATCTTTGAAGTTTTAGACAGATAAAATGGGCGAATCTTGCCAGTGAGGACAAAAACAGCTATTTTATACAGGAAACAAAGGGGTGAAGCCACTGAGGGTTTCACTCCCTTTCACAAAACTTTATCTAGCTGAACAACTCATGCTGCAGGTCCCCGCCAAGGAACTGCCTTTTTCTGACATGTTTCACCTTTATGGGTTTAATCATAAAATATCTCTATGGTTAGGCTGGTAAGAGTGGTATGCTTCAAAGAGGAGCAGGGGGGACCTACAGCATTTGTTATTCGCCTCAATAATATTTGGTGAATTGACTCCTTTGGTCCCTGTATAGAGTCTTCACGGAGCAAGCACAAGCTGCTATGGGTGGCACCTACTGTAGCCACAGCACATTTTAGGACTGTAGATTGAAGTGGAGAGGTATCCAAACTGTAAATAATAAATTCACATTCCTCTCATAAGCTAAGTCTCATAATTTCTGAATAATAACAAAAGTGGATCTCCAGTCAAAACTTTGTTTTTCGTTTTGAAAAGAGTTGGAAAGGATTGTAACCTCTGTCAGGCTTTTACAGTCTGTGTACCCCTCTGAAGAGTTTTTACAGAACTCAGGAATGTTGAATTTGTATCGCCCGACACCCTGGATATGTAGTTCTGGGCGTCGGGCAGGTAGTTTTTTTTACAACATTTAGCCCTGCTACGGGCAAGCAGCAGGGCTCACCTGTCAGGTGGAAGCATTCAGGCAGCAGCGCTGCCGCCCGATTGCTTCCACACAGCCCACGGTGTCAGCCTCCACCCCCGCTCGTCAAGTCTCCCAGGCTTTGCTTTTCTGGAGTTTTAGTGCACCTGGGAGGGAGAGGTGTAGCATCCAACCTCAGTGCCTGAAGCCGCCTGTCAAAGTTTATGGCAAGCTGCAACTGGATGGGGCTGAATGCTGTACCAAGTGGTACTTAGCCTTTCTGTGTTCCAGGCATTTATTCTTGTATGCATTGGGCCCCATATGTGAGTGCCACTCAGTACAGCGTCGAGCCACAGGTTGCCATTGATTGACAGTTTACAGGCAGTGGGCCTAGACATTGAAACTACTTCCCTTCCCAGCACACCAAAACACCATATACATCTGTCTGTGAAAACTTGGTGGATGTTGTAACTCCACATTACTGTATGCAACATTTAAAAAAGGAGCTCTGCCAAGGGTTCCTCAAATTGTCTTTTAACTTTTTTTTTTATTACACTAAAACTTGCACTTTGCAAGTCTTATTTGATTTCTGAGATCTTTTATGTTGCTATTGCTGTGACTCATTATTCATTGCTTCACCAATTCAGTAGGCATGATATATGTGGAATGTATTGATCTGTGTTTTTCTTTGTGGCAGTATTATACATGGCATATATAGTAGCAAAGTGTTATGTAAAGGGCTCCCACTATTTGGCAGTTTGGACTGTATTCAGAATGCATTCTTATCTACTTTAGATGTGGATTCAGCAAAAGTATGCACAGGCAAAGGAGCTGTGACCCTCCGAGCATCCACACCCCAGGGGGAAGTGCAGAAAAGCAGATCTACCCTAGATATTGAGCTGATACCTTGTAAGTTTATCTTATTTAAATATCTATATGTTCTGTAAATGAAAAAATACATCATGTTGAAAGTTGGGTCAGTTCACTAAATTGTATGAATTATTATACTGTCTTTTTGTCACATGACGATTTTCTTATCAATATTTTTAATTTCAGTTCCTTAATCTAGGTTAGGTAAAATTGTTGTTTAACCACTGCATGCCTTTTGGGCTCGTTCACACCATATCTGTTGACCTGTGTAAATCTGCACTGATTAACACAGGCCCAACACCCTATTCGCACCACAATGCTGAGGTGTGTTATGGAAAAATGCAGCATGCATGCATTTTTTTAATTTCTTGTTTAGGGTTCACAAAATGAGTATGTGACAGTACAATGATAGATGTAAAATATATATAACATGTACACTACAGTACTAAAGAATACTTCTTCAAGAAGCTCTGGTAAAAATAAAAATCTAGTTGTAAAACATGCCTAACGTGTCATGATTACAAGCATGTATGCAGTTTTATGCAACACACATCAACACAATGCAACACATGTCAACACGTCTTGGTTGTAAATGGTGTGACCATAGCAATCTGCCATTTTGGAGAGTGAGGTGTATTGGATGAGAAAAGGTGTGTGTGGAGCAAAGGTATTTTGTAAAAGAAATTGCTGGCCGAATTAGACTTGGACATGAATCAGTTTCTCACCTTGATGCTATAGCACAAGGATCTGTATGACCAGCTAGACAAAAACTACAAAGACAACCAAAAGGAGGCCCTTCTTTGGATTGTTATAGCGTCAAAGATTGATCCAGAGTGGAAACGTTAGTCCAAATCCCAGCAGTCAGCCACTGGTGAGTACTTTACAGCATGCAGTTTGACATAATTGAAAAATATTGCACTCAGAAATGTTGGCACACATGTGAAAATGTTTATGTTGTTGTTTGCAGGTTTCGGTGGTGTATAGGCCATAGAGTAGGGCTTTCATTTTACCAATGGGACTGTGGTGTATACAGATCAGTGGCCCATGGCTTATCGTGATTGGTGCAGATCTGTGTCACTGGATGATGTGATTGCCATCAAAGGACTGTATTGTCTGTTTATAAATTTGCATGATTTATTGGTAATGTATAAACTTTAGAATATTTTAAAGCACATTAATTTTACCAGTAGTACTGTGGCATGTACAGATTGGCTGTCAATGGCTCACCATGATTGCCTTTGATTGTACAGATTGCCAGTTGATGGCTCATCGTGATTGCCTTTGTTTGCCATCACTGGACTTGGTCGTGATTGACCTTGGATCTACATATTGGGGCTTTTTTTCTACGGTATATTTTTTAATAAAATGCTGTTATCACAATGTGGGCATTTTTATTCACCTTTTATATGTTATTCTGCTGTTATTTTGTAAATAAGTAAAAATAGGTACTGTTGTCCCCTTGTTCCCATGTTGTTAGGTTTGTTAGGCATGGGTTCCTTCTTAAAAGCCCTACCAGACCCTAATCAAGAATAAGATCTGGTATTTCAGGAAGAACCCCATGTCTTTTTTTTTTTTTCTTCCTTTTTTTTTTGCTTGAGGGGAATCTATACTCGACCCTCATCCAGGATAAAGGTCTGGTTTAGATCTTGAAGTGAAACTCGTGTGTTGTGTTTTTTTTTTTTTTGTGTGGACCCTCTCAGAAGCTACACATGACCCTATCCAATAATTTATGTAATAAAACACATTTACCATGTTGGTAAAGTTACTTATCCACATCGCTCACATCGTCCTATGCGATCTTACACAACAGTCACAGCATTCAGGCAGGAAATCATCATCAATCAAAGTGTCCATTGATGTTATCCACATGAATGACAAGGACTTTTTTCACTAGACTCACTGTACAAGACAAACTCCTGCTACTAATGATAGATATACTTCTTCCATAATATCTCCAGCAATCCTGAGTGATGTCATTGATGAAACTTGGTTATAAAAGTCACTCAGAATTTCAGGAAAAATAATTGCATACATTTCCTCAGCTAGAAATTACTCATGTGGCAGGAGTGCAATGTGTATAGAACACCTAAATTCAACATTATTGTTTGCAATGATGTTTTGACTTGGGTTCATTCCAAAATGAACTAGCTATGAATTGACCGCAGTCATAATCGAGCGGTATTTTCAGCGGTATAACATACAATGGAGATACTAAAAAGAAAGTGAATATAGAATATAAGTATTTTATGTTTACAGATTGAACATGAAAGCAAAACTGGGTCACATGATTGTCTTAAAACAACAAATATCAAGTGTTTAAAACACTGCGGCTACCATACGATTCCACATCAGTATACAGTATGGAAATTGGTAATCAGCATCAACTATAGCCAGTTGTACCACAGAGCAATATGTTTTTGTGGTTAATGGAATTTCTTTCACTGCACAACGGCATGACATTTTTAATGTACTTTCTGTTAATCCCTCCAACGCAATTTGGAAAGTTGGTTCATTGCCAGAAAAGGTTAGCAATTTCTTGACTTTTTACTTGTGTTGGCTTTAACATTAAAATTTTCTGTAAATTTCTTGACTTGCATGTCAATTGAACAATATAGTGTATGGTTGACTGTAGAATTTAAAACGTGTTGAGGAATAGGAAAGTCCTGAAGGTAGGGACCTATTAAAAAAACTATTATTTTATTAATAAATGGTGTTTTGTTTTTCAGTCTAATCATTGAAAAAAAAGTGGTTTATTATCAAAAGGACCTGCAGAAAAAGGAAAGTAGAAGTGCAGCTGGGGCAAGCAAATGGCACAGAAACCATCAATTTAACTTCCTCAGCTTCCCAAAGCCCGAGTTTTGGGAGTGAGTTGAATTTATTTTTTTTCTTTTTATCCTTAAAATTAGTACTTAAAAACTCATGTTGTCTTCTGTTTTCGGAATTGAATGCAACTTTGACTATGATAGTGCTGTAGATCAAGGGGAAAAGCAAGGCCCACCTACAGCGAGGCCAAGTTTTATTTACAGCAAGGCCCATTAATAGAAGAATTCATGTGACACATGCATTGAATCCTCTTCTGTTGGCTGCAGTGTAAGGCCTTAAACAAATTACTTTTGTTTTGAGTTTGGAGAACACCCGGATTACTACTTGGCTTTGTCCATGGTGCCCTTTCTACAAACAAATCCAAACATAAGTGGGTTGCTACTACCTGTCAGTTGTATTGGGCTTAAAGCATATAAGCTCACCGTGCCTACTAGCAGTCCCCATCTGCTTATAAGTACAAGTGAAATCAGTGGCGTAGATAAGGGGGTGGTCAGGGGGCTCCAAACCCCCCTTCCTGGCCAGAGGAGAGTTGCCAACTATCCCTGCAGCCCTCAAAAATTTCCACTCGCCCGCAAGTGGAATCAAGGTGGGAGCGAGTAGTGCCAGGACTAGGGGTTTGTGGGAGGGGTGGCAGTGGGGGGCGGTGACCAGCAGCAATTTACCTGTATGGCTTTCAATGAAGCAGTTGGAAGCTAAGGGAGGTTGAGGAAGAGAATCGGCTTCCAGCTGCTTTATTGAAAGGAGATCGCTGCTTGTCACTGCCCCCCATCGCTGCACATAACATACCTGATGGTTCAGTTTTCTTTCTGCCCCCCCCCCCCCCGATGCATCTGACTGATTGATATGAGTCCAACCTCAGTTCCTTCCACCCCTTCCTTCCTTCCTCCCCCCCTCCCTCCCCTCCCTCGGTTCCACCCCTCCCTCCCTCCCTTCCACCCCTCCCCCCTTCCACCGACCCCTCCATCCCTTCCTTCCACCCACCCCTTCCTTCCTTCCACCCACCCCTTCCTTCCTTCCACCCACCCTTCCTTCCTTCCTTCCTTCCCTTCTTTTCTTCCTTCCTTCCTTCCTTGCACCCCTCCTTTCCTTCCTTCCTTCCACCCAACCCTGCCCACCCACACTCCAGTCCTGGCAGCTCCAGCTCTGATGCATCTGACTGAGTGATATGAGTCCAACCTCAGTTCCTTCCACCCCTTCCTTCCACCCCTTCCTTCTTTCCTTCCACCCACCCCTCCCTTCCTTCTTGCAACCTACCCCACCCTTCCTTCCTTTTATCCACCTCTTCTTTCCTTCAACCCACCCCTTCCTTCCACCCCCTCCCTTCCTTCCACCCCTCCTTCCACTTTACCCCTCCCTTCCTTCCACCCACTCCTCCCTCCGTTCCTTTCTCCCATCCACCCCTTCCTTCAACCCACCCCACCCTTCCTTCCTTTCACCCGCCTCTTCCTTCCTTTCACCCACCTCTTCCTTCTTTTCATCTGTCTCTTCCTTCCTTCCACCCACCCTGTCCTTCCTTCCTTCAAGGAGAAGTTGGAGGGGGGGGGGGGGGGAGTGGTAAAACATCTACAGCCCTGAGTCCAATTCCAAAAATGTCAGCAACAGGTGGATACAAAAATCTTCTTGCATAAAGAAGTAAAAATATTCCATGGCAAACTTACGCTAATGTGTTTGTCTACAAACAGGCTTTATTCATAGCTAGTTATATAAAAAAAATCACAAAACCAATATATATGTGAGTGGAACCCAACCCACCATCCATAATCGGATCAAATAACACCTGTAGATGCAGGGAACAGGCTGAGTTAACGTGCACTGCTATCCATATAACACACCCAGTGAACACAATGACTCACAATGTAAACATTTATAACCACAAAAAAAAAAACATACACACAAATATAAAAAATCAAATCTAACATATACTGGCATTTGGAAGTTATAAAAGTAATACTTCACATGTCTGAAGATTTCTGGAGCAAATAAAGTGAGCGATCGACCCAGATGCAGATCGATATCCCACCTGAGGTTTAACCCCAAAGGTGATCTGGTCTGCAACCTGTGGATCCACCATGCTTCCCTCTGTAATAATTTACAATGCCTATTCCCTCCTCTTGCTGACACATAAACTCTCTGAATGCCACAAAAACGGAAAAAAGTCTCCTCCATGAATTTCTTTAAAATGTCGTGAGACATTAGAAATCTGTTTTGCTTGTGGG